TCGCCCACGGCCACCACCACGCGACTTTAATGAATGTTCTTGCTGTTTAAATATTGTTGTGGAATCATTAAATGGTTAGAGTTGGAAGGGAACTTAAAGACCATCTCCTTCCAACTTCCGTGCCCTGGGCAGGTACATCTCCCACCAGCCCAGGTTGCTCCAAGCCCCCTCCAACCTGGCCTTGAACCCCTCCAGGGATGGGGCAGCCACAGCTTCTCTGGGCAACCTGGGCCAGTGTCTCACCACCCTCACAGCAAAGAATTTCTTCCTAAGGTCTCATAAATCTCCCTTCTTTGAGTTTAAACCAAGATACAGCTGTGTGCCTCTGCAAACTCTTGGGTCCGTCCAACCTTCTCAGCTTTGCAGCCAGTAACAACTTCTCCCAAGTCACAGGTGATAGGACAAGATGAAATGGCCTCCAGTTGTGCCAAAGGAGGTTTAAATGGGATATTAGGAAAAATTTCTTCACCAAAAGGGTTCTCAAGAATTGGAACAGGCTGCCTGGGGAAGTGGTGGAGTCACCATCCCTGGAGGTATTTAAAAGCCAGGCAGATGTGGCGCTGAGGGACAAGAGTTAGTGGTGGTTTTGGCAGTGTTGGGTTAATGGTTGGACTTGATGATCTTAAAGGTCCCCTCCAACCTGGAAGATTCTATGATTCTGGGGTCTATTCCATGACTTTGCTGTCAGCAATGCTGTGTGATTGAACAGCAAAGGCCAGCTCCTCTTTCTAGCTCCGTGAAGACCTCCTGATAGGACTGCCTTCGATGGATTGTACACCTACCCCACGACTTGGAGAGAAGGGGGAAAGGACTGTCCTTCTGATGGAAAAAGGATTTGGGGATGTTGTTTTCCTGGGCATTGGTTTGGATACAAGTGGAATTAGGTGCTTCAGTGTCTTGCATCATAAATCTCACTCGTTCAGGCAAGGTCCTGGGGAACAGGAGCCTGAACCAGAAGCAGCGAGACACCCCGTGCACGTGTCCCCAAGGCTGAAATCATCAGAAGATAGCATGACACAAGATGCTGCAAGAAGTTACAGGAGATTTTGAAGTCTGTGACCAATTCCCCTGGTTCGAAGAGTATAATCACTTCGGTTACAACAGCCGTGAATTCCCAACCTCTTGACGACTCCAGACCTCCTGCCAGTTCACGCTAATTTCAGCTCATTTCCCTTATAATTTTGCCTCCTGTTTATTCTGCGGAGGTCTGAGCGGCACCAAGTCTCTCAGGTGAGCTGCCAAAACAAGATGATGCAACACCGAGCGCTGTGTTACCACCCGCTCCCGCAGCCGCTGCCACCCTCTGCGCCTCCGCTCCCTCCTGAGAGGGTAATTTACTGATTAACTCCCTGGGAAGAGGCTTAACAAGAGGATGTGCAACACATCTGTAAAAATTGCATCAACCACGACACCATTAGGAGTTTTTCTTTGTGTTGTGCGCTCTGCCTTGACCATCTCCATTAGTCCTGGGGGGTGAATTCACGTCGGCTGAAGAACATGAGAACTGTACCCTTGTTTAGCTCCATCATGGAAACGTTTCATTATTTTTATTACTGATCACCTTCTTATGAAAGGTGTTTCCTTCTTGCTACTGATGTCCGTGACCACGTTGGTCACAGCGCTTCTGCTTGTCCTTCAAAGTGCTGTGGGAGCTGAGCTGGTGTCTAGTCCATCACCTACAGGACCATCCACAGAGCTCCAGCCTCTGGCCAGATGTTGCCCCAAGCTCCACTTATGCAATCCCACCACCAAGGCTTCTCAGGTCTAAATTCTCACTGTATCGACCAACACCCCAACCTAAAGTGATTTTCTTCTTGCTACTGATGTCCATGACCACGTTGGTCACAGCGCTTCTGCTTGTCCTTCAAAGTGCTGTGGGAGCTGAGCTGGTGTCTAGTCCATCACCTACAGGACCATCCACAGAGCTCCAGCCTCTGGGCAGATGTTGCCCCAAGCTCCACCCATGCAATTCCACCACCGAGCCTTCTCAGGTCTAAATTCTCACTGTATCAACCAACACCCCAACCTAAAGTGACTGAAGGAACCAATGCCAGAATTTCTTTGTTCCCTTCAGCACTTATCCCCGAGCCTGTAGTGCTGCATGGGGTTATGCCAGCATCTCTTTGTTCCCTTCAGCTTTTCTATACGGTGCCCATCAGGTAACAGCAACTGCAGTTGATTACCAAAGTGGAAAGCCTTTCACAGCCCCCCCCCCCATTCCCAGGGAAAGCTCCCGTTAACCCGGGACAAAAAAACCCCAGCATCCCCACTTTCTGAGCACTAAGTGCTTCTGCAACTGATTGGTATAGATCTGATGTCATGGTCAGTTAAAACAACTTCAGAAGCATTGGTTGAAAGACATTTTATAGATGTGGGATGCTCTTTGGTCGCCAGGATGTAACCAAAGGCTTTTAGTTTCACTTTAACTGATGGGGAAAATGGAAGCTGAGTAATTTAGCAGGGAGGCAACAAGTCAAAGCTGGGTCTGGAGTACAGTTGTCCTGAATTAGTGCCCTTCAAACCACAAGGCAAATGTTTCCTGACAGAACAGCACACGACGGTGACAGGGGAGAAAAGGAACAGAATGGAAGGCTTTGATTTCCAGTATCCATCCTTCCTACAGAAAAGTGGACAATGACAAAGCCGCTGTCAATACAGGCCTTTCCCACACGAGCCACCTCCCTGCAGGAACCACCTCCTATGGGCAGAAAGGGGCCCCCAAAGTTAAAAAAAGACACAAACCCCAGAAGAGTAAAGCCCCCTTTCCCTCAGAGATGAGTGCACCAGGCAGAAGTGCCAGGCTCCTCTGAAAAGAGGAGGAGGAACGTGTGTGCTGGTGGTGGGACACTCCCCGAGCTCCTCGCCTGAGGAACTGTGGAAATGGGAGGAAAGCATCGGTCGCTGCATGGGATCCCTGGCAGCCCGTCAAACTGAGCAGCACAGAGGGAAAAAAACCCAAAAAACAATGGATATGTTTTTATTTCCTTATGTTCTACAAAGGCAAGTCGTTGATTTAAAATGACTGACTTGTCGTGCAACTGGAAGGCTCCCAAGCCCACCTCCTTCTTCCTCCCTGTCCCTCTTCTGACACACCAGGACATGCCTGTTGGCTCCCTCCTGCCCAGGAGCCCAGGCCACCTCCTCAGGGGATGCTCCAGGAGGCACATGAGACCTGTGTCTCCTGGTTATATGGATATTTGGGCAAGCAGCTTGCTGAGCCCCTGACCTCATCCGATCCAAGTCTCCACGTTTGTCCCAATTCTTCCACAATGTCACATTTTTCCATTTCTGATTATATCTGATTGCCCAGAGAGAAAGATGGCTGGGCTGGAACACCCATGTGGAGCATTGCTCCAGCTTTGGAGACAACCACGGGGAAAAGCAGAGTTCCCTTTACAACCACTCCCCAGCGCAAAGGGAAATAACCAGAAACATTCGTTTCTCTTTGCAGGGAGGAGGAGGTGGTGACCGGGGGGTAGGGAGGGAAAAGAGCTGAAACAATCTGCCAGCAGCACAAACTTTGTTCACACTCCAATTCTGGCTCAGATGGGAAGCAGCCAGCAGGGAAAAAGAAAAAAAAAACCAACCAAAAACCAAAAAAACCACCCTTAAGAAACAAGGAAGCTGTTCTCATGCTTGTAGTGATTTCTGAAACAGCACCCCCCGCCCCCCCAAAATGCTGGGGTGAACGCAGGGAATAAGAGCACGCTTTTTGACAAGGCTTTTGCAAAATATTCTATGCAAAATCTCCAACTCAAACAGCTTGGAAGACCCTGCAGATATCATGCAAGGGAGCTCTACGGGGAAGAATAAATTGGCATTAAAAAATGGACACACTGGACAAAAGCCTTTCGAGTCTGAAGTCCCAAACAATGGAAGGTCTGTTTTATTAATCTGCTGCGAATTATGAGTGCTGCATACAGTGCAGGGGGCTTCCAGGCTGGTGCCAGAAGAGTTAAAAAGAAAAAAAAGAAAAGTCTACCAGGAGCAGGGTGTTTGTGAAGGCTCGGCAGCAGCGAGGAGGCCGGCAGAGGGCTCGCCCGAGCCAGGCTGCCAAACACTGGGGAGATGCCAAGGGAATTCACAGACAAGGGAAAGAAGATGCAATAAACTGTATTTCCTTCCTTCCCTGACGCTGTTAGCAGCTGAGAGTGTGAGCGTTGTGAAACAGTTAAACCGCAGGGCTCCTTGCCCAGGGCACCAGCCACGCCGTAGGGTGCCCTGGCCAGCACACGGCCTCGGGACCAAGGACTAGGATTTCCCCAGGATGAGCCCAACCTCCTGGCTCATCTCACATTATTCTGAACATCCCCTCGCTACCCCAGCATCAAACCACTAAACCTGTTCTAACCACCATGGATGGACCTGTTGGACCGGGGCCCAGAGGAGGCCACGGAGATGCTGGTTCAGCCTGGAGAAGAGAAGGCTCCAGGGAGACCTTCCAGCCACTTCCAGTCCCTCAAGGGGCTTCAGGAAAGCTGGGGAGGGACTCTGGATCAGGGAGGGGAGCCATAGGACAAGGAGGAAAGGTTTTAAACTGAAAAGAGGGGAAATTTAGATGAGACGTGGGGAAGAACTTGTTTGGTGTGAGGGTTGTGAGAGCCTGGCCCAGGTTGCCCAGAGAAGCTGTGGCTGCCCCATCCCTGGAGGGGTTCAAGGCCAGGTTGGATGGGACTTTGAGCAACCTGGGCTGGTGGGAGGTGTCCCTGCCCAGGGCAGGGGGTGGGATTAGATGATCCCACTGTCCACGTCACTGATGAAGATACTGAACAGTACTGGTCCTAATATGTACCTCTAAAGAACACCACTTGAAACCAATCTCCATCTGGACATTGAGCCATTGGCCACCACCCTCTGGATGTGACCATCCAACCAATTCCTCATCCACTGAATAGTACACCCATCAAACACATCTCTCTCCAATTTCCTTCAGCATCTCCAAGCTCAGCAATCAGCACCCCAGCATTTCACCCAGAAACTAGAGAAAAGGATGCACTCACCTGCTTTCGTTATCCAGAAACACAGAGCTACTACTTTTCCCGAGGGCTTCACTAATGGGAGAGAGGCAGAAGGGGGAAGAGAAGGCATCGGAATCAGAGTCAAAAGTACTGTCCCTGCTCACGTCATCAGCAGACAGCTCCAAGGAGCCCTCGTCCTCCCCTGGCTCTGGCCTGCAGTCCAGACCTTCCTCCACAGACAGCTCCGACCTGTTCTGCTCCTCCTGAGAACTGATTGTCGAGAGGATTCCTGAGTCGCTGCGGGCGGGCTGGGGGGAGCGGCGGGTGCCGTCTGCTGCTGGGCAGCACTGGGAGAGCTTCTCCCCTTCCGAAGAGGGGGAGCTGATGTACGCCACATCTTTCCCAAGCTGTGACACGGTCAAGACGTCTTCTCCTCGCAGGATGACTGCCCCTCTCTGCTCGGTGGGGGAAGGCGGGCGGACAACGCCGAAGCCCTGAGCGTGGCGGCCGCGTTTGCGGGGAGCTTTCCGGACAGGGGAGCTCTCAGGAGTGATGTAGCGCAGGGCTTCCTCATCCTGCCTCTGAATGCGGGAGTTTGGCACCCAGGCCAGGATAAGTGTGGTTCCAAGAAGCTCATCTTTCTCCATGTACAAGCACAAATAGCCTTTGAGAGAACAAGGGAGCAATCAGTTATGACACAGCTTTATTCTTGGGAAAAACGTGAAAGCCTGAAATTTGCCGTTTCCTGTCTCCCTCCGCTTCACCACCATTACACATGGGCAAAACAAACCCTTTATTTACCAGGTGAGAATTCTGCTAAATGAACTGTAGACTGCTCAACATTATTCAGTATTCGCAAATAATTTCAACCCTGCATATAAGGAAAGGCTGAGGGACTTGGGTCTTTTTAGTCTTGAGAAGAGAAGACTGAGGGGGGATCTGATCAACACCTATAAATACTTCAAGGGTGGGTGTCAGGAGGATGGGGCCAGTCTTTTTTCAGTGGTGCCCAGTGACAGGACGAGAGGAAATGGGCACAAACTTGACCATAAGAAGATTCATCTAAACATGAGGAGGAACTTTACTTTGAGGGTGGCAGAGCCCTTGAAGAGGCTGCCAAGGGAAGTAGTGGAGTCTCCTTCTCTGGAGACATTCAAACCCCCCCGCCCACGTTCCTGTGCAACCTGCTCTGGGTAGACCTGCTCTGGCAGGGGGTGGGACTAGATGATCTCCAGAGGTCCCTTCCAACCCCATCCCATTCTGTGACTCTGTGGTATGCCTTTTGAGTAGTTTCAATTCCCTCTGGCCTAAGTGGACATAGAAATGACATGCAAATACTCCAACTTCCTGGACAGATTACTAATCAAGAGTAAATTTTGAAATACGCTGCCACATGAAAAGCTTCTACTGTTTGTTAGTTAAACAATTTGGAGTGCCAGCTAAACATTTTTTTCTCAAGAATATTTACCTTCATATAGCTAAAGGGCTACAATTCTCAGGGAAAGCCAATAGGAAAAAAGAGTCCCGCACACAAGAAGGGAAGCGTGGGTCAGTGTTCACAGAATAATTAGTTTTGTGAAGCCAAGCTAGAAGCCACAGCTCTCTTTGATGAAAACATGAAAGAGCGCAGTAAGAGATGAGAATAAAGGGACAGAGCGGTATTTATCTTCATTTATTCTGGCACATGCAGCCACAATCAGGTTTTCTTTCTTTTCCCTTTACCAATAGTTGTTGAGGCCACTCTAGCAATGGCAGTTTAAAGATGACACTTGGCTTCCCTGAAGAACACACGTATTTGAAAGAGCGACAGAAGTTACTTTCCTCAAATGACAACTGTCCATCTTCTGGCAATACAAAAGGATTTACTAAAACAGGTAAATCCACGCCAGAGCAGAAGAGAAAGGAGAAACATCATCAATTTTCCTACCAAAGAACAAGCTGATGGCTCGATTCACGGATGGCTTTCCTTAGTCCTCCATAAGACTGCCTTGCCCTGTTCCCCACCAGCACCTCTCCCTTCTTTAGAGCCCTATATGTAGGATTTGATATAAATGCACACCCCAGGAGAGAGAAAAAGAGTGAGTGAGCAGTGTCTGCAACACCCCATCACCTGGATGGTGCTCCCCGATGCCTTGCAGCAGCTCAGGTGGATGGACGCAGACATTGTTCTTGGAGTAGATAATCTCCCCATCAAGTATGGAAGCGGAACTGCTGCCACCACCAGGATTCAAGGTCAGGAGGTCAGAAGCTTTTGAAGAGGCACGTCGGAGGAGTCGCCCCAGAGACATCGCCAAGGAAATGTTTCCATTATCTGTCAGCTTTAATCAGGAGCCAAATTCAGAAGATCTGCCAAGGAGGAGGAGAGAATAGCGTTAGAATAAATATAACGACAGCGCAGCACGAGCCTATCGCTGGCTGAGGAGGAGGAGGTCCCCATCAATCCTACAACTCAAGCAAGAGCCTCCAAATGCTCTGGGTCTGTAACATCACCGCTACGTTTTAAAGATGCTGAAGTACAGAATGACGGGACGTTTTTCTCTGCAACGAAGAAATATGAAGGCAGAAAGTCCCCACGTTTTAATAGTTACTGTGGGGAGGAAACACAAAAGTAAGGCTTGTCACTGAAAATTGCCCATTAAGGGAATAGCTCAGCGATGCAGAGCTGCCCGATGGATCACTGTCCTGGGGATGTCAAAGACACTCAGAGTAGACCCTGGAGGATTCCTTCAGCACAGAAAAATTGCTGAGACCGTGACATTATACAAGGGGCTGCTGCTTCATCCGCAGTAACCACAGATCTCCGAACAAACCATTAATCAAAACAAGTTCATCTTGTTCTTAACCAATTTTTTGGCATAACCCTGCTGTGCATTTGAGGTTTTGGGATTGGGGTTTTGGTTTGTTTTTTGAGGAGTGATGGTTAAATAGAGCTTTTTCAGAGGTAAGTGGCAAGAGAGCCACGTTCAACAGAGCGGGCAGGCTCCAGCAGCAGCACACAGGACACCAAGTCAAGGCAAACATTTCATCTGTCAACAGGTCACTTTAGGAAACTGTGGGGTACGATCCCCAACTAATCACTGGGTAAGCGTCGTGCTCACATGGACATGCTCCTCCTCGGGGCTGCTGCTGAGGAGCTCTACAGTGACTCCAGAGGGGTCACCCCAGCTACAAACTATTTCATTTGGAAGAGCTGATGTGTGGAAATAGCTGGCAGGTCTTGCACAATGCAATCCCACAGACAGCCCAACACAACCCAACGCAGGGCAGGCTCTACTTGCTCCTGCCATCCCTCATTGGGGAGCAGACCATTGAGGGGATGGCAGATTCTGCTCTGCCAGAAGTACATGAGGAGAGGAAACATTGACTTTTGTTCCTTTGTATTTACACGGCCTTTACTTGCTCGTGAAAGGGCCAGCCCAACCCACCACGCACCACAGAGTGTCACGGTGCCTGGGCCAGGGGCAGCGTGTGTGGACAAGCCCCATCTCACGGACTGCAGAGCACACAACAGGGTGGCCAGGAATAAAAGGAAAAGCAGACAGGCCCTGGCTTGTATTACCAGGGGCAGGAAACACTTAGGGGCTTAACGCAAGCATCGTCAAACATTGAATAGCTCTGATTTCTTAAACATGTTTTTAATGGTATCTCTAGATAAAAAAGGAAGCGAGAAAGGCAGAGAGGGCAAACAGAAACCAGCGCTTCCCAAAATACGGAGCGAAAGCTTCAGGGAAGGAAAATAGCTGTCCTGATTCTGACAGATTTGTACATACAGAAGATCACAAACGAGACTGCCAAGCAGTTGACAGAGTCTTCGCTAAAGGACAAACTATTGGTTTAACTGTAATTGCTAGATTTGTCAGCTTGAATCCCAGCATAAGCAGTTTCTGCATTGCATTCTTTGCTGGAACTTGACAAGAGAAACCTCAACCCTGCTCCGTACCGTGCCCAGCAAGTGCTGAGGGTAAGAGAATTACTTTGCACGTCCTTCGCACCCGTGTCACCTTCCAGCTCCAAACACAACATGTATCTTCATGTCTCAGCCCCAAAAAACAACCACCAATGGAGTCATACACTTGTTCTTGTCCAGATCACCAAAAAGCACAGTGTCAGCCTGTGTCAGCCTGTGTCAGGCTCTGGGTTATATCTTGGAGAAAGTAATTTGCCTCATTTGCAAATCACCTTTCCTCCCATTGCACGCTGCAAGCACACAGGCAGCAAGCTCTGCTGCAATTCCTCCTTCCCACCACCAAGTTACATCACACCATTTCAACACAGCCTTGAGGGAGTCTGAAGCAGAACGTGGAGCAGCCTGTACGGCATCAGAGGCCCCGAGCCTCCGGCACATGAGAAGAGGGTGAGCTATTACCACCTCCCTTTGCAGCAGCACGGTCTGCTCAGCTACACCCTGATGCTCTCAGGACTGAAACCAGCCTGGCTTCCAGACCTTCAGCTACATCAGCTATTTCATCAGAATGCTTAAAAGCGCAAAACCTGCATATGTGAAGGAGGGAGGTGGTACCAGGTGGCTGTGGCTGTTGACCAGGGAATGCTTCCTCAGAAAACACAAGTGAGCTTTTCCTGCTGAGGACAGCAGATGGAGACGCAGGTATGAAAGAAGAGCTTGTGTGATGTCCTACTGCAGCTCTCCAGGGGCTCCCAGCAACGCAGGCAGAGGTGCAGGACTTCTCTGCCAACAGAGGCAACGTTTAATTAGCTTTTACCTAGCAGAGAAAGAACAAAGCAACAGGTAAAAGATCAAAAGCTGCTCCCTGGAAAGCAGGAGGAACTTCAAGGGGAATCTTGCTTTGATCCTGCAGAACACCTGCTGCTTCAGCGCTGCCTTGAAGCGCAGGTGGACGGCGCTGCAGGTACACACACACATCCACAGGCTGGGAAGGGGAAACAACAGCAACAAAAACCAACAGGAGGCGAGGAGCAGGGTGTCCTGCCAGCACAGAAACTGAGCCTGTTGCATTTGTCTTGCAGAAGAGCGATGCATCAGAAAGCAGAGCCCACTACGATACCGCAAACAAATAGCTGAATACACCAGGATACATAAATCTCATCAGCAAGACTCAAATGAATCCTTTCCCCGTTGCCGCAGGGTAGGGAATACTGTGTTGCTTTGGCTGCAGCATTAAAGAAAAACAGATGTAAGTCACTGGACAGTTTAAGGGAGAGTGATAAGAGCAATGTGGGGCAGGAAAGGTATTGCCAAGGGAAGATTAACGAAAGAGAAACACATTAAAAGTCTTCAGACATATGAATTGTCACTGCCAAAAAAAAAAAGGAAGAGCTGTCTGTGGAGGACAGGAGAAGTATTAAGTTAAGCTGTGGTAAGGAATATCTAGTTTAGTTGTTCTAATAGCAGGGATAATGGTGTGCCAGAATGGGGCAACCTGAAGAGGCCGTTTCTATCACTGGGGTTTCAAAGAGAGGCTGCAGAAGTAGATGGGCAGTCAGTCCCAGCTAGGACCAGAGGATGGACTGGACCTCTGAAGCTCATCTAGTCTACCTGGACAGGCCCCAAAGTCTCCGAAACCAGCTTGGGAATGTGCCTCTCCTTCCCAGAACACAAGAGCTCACACAGCACAAACCAGCAAGTAATAAAGGGACCAAATCTGCAGGGTTTGTGCTATTCTGAGCCCTCTTCTGTGTGGGACAGTGTCTGCACACACCGTCCGTGGGGCCTGGGGCCTGAGAAGCTGGTATTGCTGCTGTCTCTTGTACGGGCTTGGGAAGGCAGGCACAAACCCTCCTACAGCTCAGTCAGCATTAAATTAGCACCATTCAAAAAAAAAAAAGAAAGTATTTTTTCATATTAATTTTCTATTTATCCCCTGATCTGAAAGGATTCTTTTCAATGTGGCAGAGACAACCCAGCTCTCCAGAAGCTGAAGCACTGAATTAGCTGATAAGCCCTTGCTGAGTGCCAATATTTATGAAGCTCACATACATTTTCTTCTCCCACACATCAACTGTCGCCACTAAAAATTTTTGCTACAGCTACCGAGGCTGTTCGTGCAGCCCCTGGCTGCTCTCCCAGTCGATGCCAGCACTCCTCAGCTAACCCAAATCTCGGAAATGCGCTGGGGAGCCAATTCCTGAGATCACCCCAGGAGCCTCTTCACAAGAACCCGACCAGCTCCAGCCAGCAGCATCTCAAAGGGCACCGGCCGCTCGGCTCCCGTGGAAGAGCCCTTCCCCTCCTCATAAACCAACAAACAATAAAATCCTGTTTGGCTTGGCAGATCGCACCCGCACCTTGGCAGACGCTGCTGGACCAAATGGTGCTGCCTCCGGTCGCACAAGATTCCTGTATTCTGGCAGAGGAGGAGGGCAAGGCAGGGCTCAGGCACGGGCTGACAGGCTCCAGCACATTATTCCCAGGGTGTGCAGCACACGCTGGCACCGGGGTGGTTCCTGGGCACACGAGGCAACGGGGCTTCTCTCACAAATAAGTGTAGCCCATAGAGGTATACGACAGCCTGCTCTTTGGGGCCAGCTGGAGCCAACAAGTCACAGGACTGAGCACCACGTGCCTGGCAGCGGCTCCAAGGGTTTAACAGCTCCACAAGCAAAATAAGCCAAGCTACAGGGCTCCTGAAGTGAAATGTGAGACCTACAGCATGTCCGGGCACAGCGGAGAAACACGAGTTGTCAAACATTGCCACCAAATTTAAGTGTGAAATGCCTTAAGTCAGAAAAAGGCAACAGGCTTTTTTCCCGTAATAACGTAAATTTGATTTTACATATTTAAGGAGTGCAGTCACTGCACCACAGAGGTCTCAAACACTGCAGAAATTCCTGCCTTCTCATCCCCTTGGGAAGAGCAAATTCCGGGTTTGCACCTCTGGTAGCTCTGGTGCAGGGCAGAGCACACTGGAAGGCAGAGGGACCGGAGACAGAGTACGGGAGCCCGGGAGTCAGGATGGCAGCTTTTTTCCAGTCCTCTGACTGGATTTTCTCTGCAACTCTCAGCTACTCACTCACTTGATCTATACTTCTCTGTGTATACACCAGAGCCCTTGTAACGACCTTCCCTTTGTATGGCAATACCTCTACATTAGGGGAAAAAAAAAAAAAAAAAGCTTTCAAAACTACTAGCTATTAGCGGGAGCTATTTAAGATGACCCAGCCAAATCAAGGAAAAAAGTTTACCGTGGGGAGCCATTCTGAAGTCATCCTGTTTCATGGGGAGAATTATGTAGGTCACCAAAAAGACTTTGATGGCTGACCTGCTGGTGCAGCAGTGGCACGTAGAGAGCAGAGCAAAGGAAGAGGAACAGCAGTCACTGGCTGAAACCCTGACACTGGCACAACTCCGATTCCAGTCACTTCAGTGGAACACACCTCGTTCAGGGGCATCTCAGCTGAGAGGGTAAAAAAAAAAAAAAAAAGGGACAGCAGACTAAATCCCACAAGTTTGTGACTCAGAGATAAAAAGGGAAACGAAATGCTATCATCGGAGGCTGCCGGCTGCTCGCAGCCACACCTGTTAGGCGTAAGAAAGCAAACAAAAAGCTTAGCACCCCTCCAGCACTAAAAGTCAAACTGCAACACATGCTTTACTGCTGAGAAATTATTTGTGCCATATGTCCCTTTGTCCCGAGATTAAACATCATTTCGTATTACTTAACTGCAGCACTTGTGCAGTAGGCAACGTTTTTACGGCTTTTTATTTCCAACATCCTGTAGCCATGGCCTGGTAACGCTCACAGCACTAGATCCCTAAATATCAGCAGCTAAAAAATCCCAGGAGCCTGGTTTCACAGCAGAATTGATGAACTAATTGCGAAGTCTTTTCTTAATATGACAGACATCAGACCACGTGGCTCTGACACTTTGAAATGGCCTGATCTTCCCCCTGCCAGAGCCAGGACAGCTCTGCCCCAGCCCCACTCTCCGGCTTCACGCCAACCGCACAGCAAGAGGTACAGAATAGACCCAGATATTCAGCAAATCCAGTGCAGGGTCAGAAAAGCAGCTTTCAGAGACTTTTCTGGTTTTAGCCAAGTTATCACCGGAACAAGAACAAGCTCCTCTCAGCCAACTTAAAGGAGGCTTCCACAAAAGCAGCAGCAAGCCGGAGACCTTTACCCTCAGCCATCCTGGTCTTAACATTTCTACTATTTCCTCTTGAAAGATGTTTCATTTTTATTCTTTCCTATTCAGGGCGGCAACTAAGGACGTGACACCTTTGCAGGACAAGCTGGCAGCGCGAGGAGCGCGGAGAGGGGCAGAGCTGAGGGAGGAAGCAGCGGAGTTATTTTCCAGAGTGTCAGCAACACGGCGAGCAATATATCACCACCCCATCCCTGCCCCGCAGCGCCTGACCGCCATACATCAAATAATTGCCACCGATCCCCACCATCCATCTTCCTGTCGGGCCGGCCACTGAACTCAGCAACCGCAGAAACTGAGGCAATTCGAGAGAAAACCACCTCCCCCAAAAGTAGGGAAATCATTAAAACACCCCAAGCTGTACAACAGAAGACAAAGAATGGGATAAAACAAAAAAAAAAAAGGATGTATCACCAGGGTAGGGTACCCCGGCGGCTCGTCCCCGGGTAGGACCCCGTGTGACACCACACGCCTGACGAGATGCCGGGCCCCGGGCACCCGGAGGAGCTGGGGCAGCCCCCGCTGCCGCCCCCCAGGGCCCGGCCCGGCCCGGCCCCGCCGCTCAGCGCGACGCCCCCTTCCCCCCC